TAAAATAAAACTTGCTGTAACTTCTCCCTCAAACACAGTCCAAAGTGGTTTATTATTTAACCTGAAGAACAAAGACATTTATCTTCTGCCACTATCAGTAAAACAGGGAACACAAACCACATTTTTCTTTTTAGATGATTTTTTGGCATCTTATCAGAAAGCTAGAGTGCAGGGATTGCAGTAAATATAGAGGATAAAGATACAACAAAGTCTTGATACCACACCACATCTTATTGACTTGCTGCTTTGGTTCAAACGAAGGTGACATCAGGTGCACTGGAGAGGCAACAACAACAACTGGGTTTTATAGATGGTGGCTACACAGCATTATTCTCTCTTTATCTGTGCTGACTGATTCTTCTCAGCTTTTGTTTTTAGCCCTCAGATGTAAAAAGCTGATGATCTATGGTTGTCTCCTTGCCAAGCGGGCAGTGTGACCTTGACCTCAAGGTCAGACTAAGTTTTCTGGAAATCTTGCAAATGCAAGAATTTGAGAACAAGGTGATGTAGAATTTTGAAATTGCCATACATGCCTACTAGGAGGCTGAGGAGTAGCACTGGGGGTCCCTGTTGCCACTGATAGCATGAGATGGTACCTGTAGCCCATTCAGGTTGCACAGGCAGTCCAGCTTCTACAGGATCCAGACGGGTTGCTGCGTCTTTCAGCATAATCTCAAGAGTGTGGAGAAGTTGCCAGGACATGGGCCATTTCATGATGAAGTACTCACTAACCACTGACACTTAAAGAGTTTCCTCTTTAATGTCTTTGTTTTTTCTGTCCAGTTTGGGGTTTCACTAACTCAGAGAACATTAAATGAGCTCAGATTTACCTTTAATCTAATACAATATTCAGGTTGTTACACTTGTACATTTGGGACTCCACAACAGGACAGAATTTGAGATTTTTTTTCTGGCAAATTAACAACTTTGTAATTTCAGGGAATATCTATTTTTTGGGTTTGTTTGTTTTTTTTAACGTAGAGATTTTTCTCATTTATTGACCACTTTAATCTCATAGAATATCCAGATGTTCTTTGTCATAAAATCAGAAACTCAGATTGCTTTTCTCTGAACATTAGGAACCATCAGTAGTCATAATACTTTTCAGTTATTATCACCATTAAAGCGTCACTGAAGCCCCTTGAAACTCTAACTTCAGTTCCCAGAGGTCTGATCAACATTAATGGGAAAGGAAAAGCATCTGGAGTCATCTCAAAGTTTAAAAACAAAGTCTAGCTAATTGTCATTGTGTTCCTCTGAAAATTACCATCATTTCCAGCTGTGTTTTATTTTTTATTTATTTTTTTAAATGAGCATCAGTATTGGAGCATCATTGAAGCCCCTGAAAAATGCTCTCAGCTCACAGAAAGCAAGCTAATTTTCATTTTCATTCATGACAGCAACAACACTGGGGTAAAAAGTGTTTGAAGTCAGGTCTGTATGATTTAAAAAGATTGGATGGACTATTTGTGATATTATAATCTCAAGGAATGTACTTTTTCTTACATTTTAAGAAATATTTTTCTTACATTTATCACTTAAATTTCAAGAATATCACAAGCTTTTTTCTGTAAATGTACAGCTATATTGTTGGATGGTATGATTTTTTTATCCTCTGACTATAACATGCTTCCTTTTAACCACTGAGGAGTCTTGGTTAAAAACACTGGCACCAGTCATTCTTATGTAGGACCCAAACACAGCACCTAAAGATGGTTCAACCACCAGCAGGTGGCAGCATACACCGCACAGACAACCAGACAACAATAAGTGTGTCAGAGAGGAAAGATTCCCCCCTGCAGAAACAGGATGTGTCCAGACATGGGGGTTTATACAGTCATGTGATCCCACTCTGCTCCTCCTTATCTCTTATGTAATCCCCATCTCAGCCGTGGGTTGCCCCCACCCACCCCTCACAACTGCTGACCTGAATATGGTAATTGTGACCACTTATCTGTAGAGGTATATGTTTTCTTCCTCTAGAAACTGATGTGCGGAGGACATAGATGTCTTGAGGAGTAAAGTGATGAAAGTCTGTAGGTCTGTGTGATGGATTGTTAAGCCTGCACACGGCAGCTGTCACACCACTTCCTTGTTGGCAGTGTGTGGTGAAAAATTTGTGTTATTTTCCATTGCTGATGGTCATTAAAATGTAAGGGAGTGTTGTTAAGAGATCAATTTACTGAGGAAGTAGCATGCCTTTAAAATGGCCAAAAATGCTTTGTAGGCAGAAGAAAGACACAGATGAATATAAATCAGGCTTTTTAATAATGAGCAAGTTAATAAAGCTGGATCAGGATAACACACTAATTCAGTTCAGCTTGAGGTTTGTTTATTTCTCCATGCACTACATTCTTTCCAGGCTGTTTAGTGCTCCCCTTCCTCAACCAAACTGCTTAGTGTGTCACTCAGGCCGCCCAGTAACAGATGAGTATTGGCTGGGTGCTTCTTATGGAAGCCTGTTGCTACCAAGAAAAGCAAATAAGCAGATATGAAGGCAGGCAGGCAGAAAACAAAAATTATAAATAATAATCGTTGTAACAGTTTCTTACCTTTAACAAAGTTATTTTAAAAATTTTTCAAATTTCTTTTTTGTTAATTTAATTTTTTGGGTTGTTGTTCAAAACCGGTTTGGTTGGTTGTTAACTGTGACAACCAGTATCACATCACCAAAATGTTTTTATTGATTAATTAATTTATTCATTCATTAGGTGAAAAATTAACTAATTCGGCTTCATTCTTGATACATATAGGTAGGGCAGGGACAAGGGCAGTTAAAAACATTGGCACCGGTGGTTAGAATAAACACCATGGTGGTAACAGGGTCACTCTACACCACTCTATACTTCTGTTTTAAGTATGATTAATTTGGAAATGAACAAAAAAAATAAAGGAAAATATGAGATAGAAGCCATTGTTATTCAGATTTTTTATGATGATGATGATAATGTGAGTTTGTGACAGCCCTATTAATTTCATAATTTTTAATTGTTTATATTTGTTAGTGTTGTAAATATAAAATATAGTTCTAGATTGTTTCCCCCTTTTATATAAGCTACAATTTTACACATCAGTGAACTCCTTTTTAAAACACATTGTTTATTATGACTTTTATGTAATTCCATTTCATTTGAGAGGTTTTTACCTGCTGGTAAATTGTCTTGTTTCTAGGAACAAAAGCACAAAGGATAATCAACGGGCTTACCATAATTAAATTTTTAATTTTTATTATTTTTGGGGGGTGAGGGTTTAAATATATAATTTGTTTTCTTTTTAATTTTTTAAAATTTTACTTAACTAATCTTTTCTCCTTTTATAAAATGTTGTTTTAGTTAACTAATGCCATTGCTTCATGTACCTGAATTCTCTACACTGAGAAATGAATGACTGAAGTTACGTGTGCCATGATGCTCAGGCTGAGTGGGTGGGAAGGCTGAGATGGTTTCGACATATGCAGAGGAGGGATAGTGGATAAACTGGACAAAGAATGTTGAATACGTGGGTGGAAAGGAGGAAGACCACAGAGGAGGTCAGTGGATGTAGTGAAGAAGGACACGCAGAGGGTTGGTGTGATAGAGGACAATGCTAGGGATAGGGTGAGATGGAAACTGAGGTGGTGACCCTTAAAGGGAGCATCTGAAATAAGATACTTTCATAAGTTATTTTTTATTTACTAAGTAAGAATTTTTTTTTCATGAAAAATAAAATTATATTTTATATATGATAATTTTAATGATTAAAAATACTTGAATTTTGGTCAACTGATAGATGGATTCTTTTTTTTATTAGTTCGATGCCCTCATTCATTAATCTTTCTTTCTTGCTGGCATCAGTGGGCTTCCATACAATCTCCACTTACACCAATCATAACAATGAAAGGGGCGGGGCCACATTGGGTTAGGTTGTCACTCTCATTGGGTAAATAACAAACCACCCACTTATTTTGAAGCCTGCCGTTTAGGAGTCACGAGAAGTTTAACGGTTAGAGAAGCTCAAGGAAAATGACACAAATGAACCGGATGAAAACGGCTTCACTGGAGTGGTTCTGACAAGCAGACGACGCCCGCTTGTATCACAGGTGCCGTCCCGTACTTTGTTAGCCCACCTGCACTCGGGGCGGCTCGAGGAACCGCTGTGGCTGCTAGCGAAGCTCGTTAGCCGCTAACCACCGATGCTAGCGAGCTAACTAGACGAATCGCCCGACTAGAGCGACCAAGTGGCGGGCGTGAAGCTAACCACGTCAAGGCTGGTTTTGGAGGGCTGGTTGGCTGAATTTATTCCGTTGAGGAGTTTATTTCCGCCCTTCTTCTACAGTGCTGCTCTTCTTCCCCGTTTCATTGTGTCGGAGCGTCCTGACTGCATGCACGCATGCTAGCAACTGCCACAACTAGCTAGCGTAAGCTAAAGTGGCAGTTTTTGTTTTTGACGCTGTCGCCGGTACGAGATTTCGGGACGCGGTTGTGTCACCATGACGCGTGGTTATTAAGTGGACTTTTTAAATGTCGTGCAGCCCCTCTAGGAGAACCAGACGCGGAGCATGCAGGAGAAGAAGAGAGTCCAGATAAGTAGATAGGGGACGCGACCGAGTTAAACTGGACTGCGAAGTCGATTCGCCTCTGATTAGGGATTGCATTTTGGTTGGCCCTGACAGAGAAAGGAAAGGATGAAGAAGTTTTCGAGAATGCCAAAGTCTGAGAGCGGTGGGCTCGGAGGGGCATCCGGGTCCAGCTCCAGCTCCGGAGTCAGCAGCTACTTCGGGAAAGTGTTTTCAGTCGGCCGGTACCAAGTCACCGTGGAGGAGCTTGTTGCAGAGGGTATGTATCGCACATGCAGCTTAATGATGGTAACGGGTTTATTTTATGGCTCGTGTTTGTTCTACTGAACATCTCCTTGTGATAGAAGTAGGTCGCTCTCCTCTTCCAGGCAGTTGCCACTTAAACTGGGACACCGGGGATTTGGTGCATGGCTAGAATTAAAGCTTTCCCCATACAGCTGTGGTTTACATCTTGCTTCAGCTGATTCCAGACTAGGGGAGTGGAGAGGAGAAGGTGTGGGTTGCCTTCGGGGTCCAACCCTCCTGTGTCAACATAAAGCAGTGTAAAAGTCACTTTTGCCTTATCGAGAGTCTTTAGCATGGGTTAAAACAGTTTTGCCCTCTTTAAAGCGTTTGTGTAGTGCTTGTTTACAGCAGCAGTCCTGTCATTGGGTACAATGCAGGAGAAGATTTCTCTCTAATACGAGAGGGTACTCACGTATTAGAGAGAAAGCCACACCAATCAGATGACCCCCTGTGAGCAAGCACTTGGTTATGGTGGGAAGGACAAACTTCTTTTTCTTTTTTTTTTAACAGGAAGACTTCTCCAACAGAAATGGGCTTAGGGTGGGGCTCCCATCAGGCTTAGCCTGATTTATTTAGTTATTTATTTTTGGTGGGGAGACTAAGGGAAAAAAGCAAGCTATAAAATATTAAAATAAATGTACAAAAGCATTAAACATAGAAATCAAGAAATGGTGTTAAGCACATATGCATAGTCAGCTAAGAATGACCTACTCCAGGTTAGGACAGGAGGTACACATTATTAATACACACACTACAGTAATAATTAGGAATGAACTAGTTTTGAAAGACTGATTTCCTGCTGCAGCTTATTTTGAGATATTACATCTAAATGTGTGACACATAACTTTGAAATTAAAATCTTGAGAATAAAAACATTTTATCTAGTTTCATTTATCTATGCTTAGTGTGTGGTCACTTGTCCAAAAGCACCTGTTAAGCTGAGGAATCCCTGAACTCTCTGGCTGTGTGGGGAAATTTAAATCAAAGTAGAAGTCTTTCAGTCTCAAGATGTAAAAACCTACAAATGTGAACTTTTTTGTTTTTCCTTTTTTTGTCATTTAAATTGAGCTGTGAACTGTGTTGAAAACTTGGTACTGGCTTTATTTGGCCCCTGGTTTTGCCTGCTCTCTAGCACTTTTGAAGATGTGCTTTGCAAGACTTCTTGGAAAGATTTTAAAAATTCCTTCCTGATTTAACAACGCTTTGTGTTCAAAAATGTGTTCACAAATGTTGAAACCACCTCCAAGCACATTCAGCCAGCCGGGCAGAGACAAGAGGAAGTGTGGAAATAAACAGCTTTTGAGCAAGAGTTACTGGTTCACAAATTGTCCAGTGCTTATCAAAGCATATTGATTGAAAACATAATTAGAAACTTTAAAGGTAATTCAGCCAATTAGACAGCTAATTAGTCCTTAGAGTGGTTTTGTCAAACATGCAGCCCAAAAGCCACAACCTTCAAAACAATGGTGTCAAAACTGCCCCACTGGATGAGTTTGCAAAGAAGTCACTTATTTCGGCAGTTCCTTTTCTTTCAAATTCATGGTGTGGTAATGCCAGCTTCCCTACAAATACCTACAAAGTTTAAAGTATTCCTAAATATTGACCAGATATTTACCAGCCTTGATTTAAGAGTAAAGATTTTACACACATCAGATATTGTTTTGGTGTTTGCTAATTTTCAACTTGTGGAAAGCCAAAAAGTAGTTGATGTCAATCAGAAATATGCTAAAATTTGGTTTTAGATTTTACTTCGGAAAGGTGGATATCTTTGCCCATTACGACGCACACCACTCGAGACGTTTTTGTGAATACTTTTGATGTGAAATGTAAAATCAATCTGGGAGGGGAATAGAATTCCTCTTGTGTAGGAAGCAGTTGTTTTTGCCTTTTTGTTAGAGGATAATGTGACTCTAATGAGATATTTCTGGGAAAGTGTTCTAAGAGATCATTCTCAAAATAATACATATAAATATATTTATGAGTAGCCTTTTTTTCTTTTTCTAGTTCCCCCTCACTGCTGACTTCTTATCTGATCACACTCAACAGCATGTTTGACACTATTTTACTCGATTGCTCAGATTTTCTCCCTGCTGTTTGAGGACTAATTTAGTCAGAGGGTGAGCCCTAAAACTAAGCTTAATCTGGGACAATTTTAAAGGAAGTTTAACCTCTCAGGTCCCACCTAAAATTAACCAGAAGAGACATTATAATCAAACATATTTCTCATCTCAGCCCATAATCGTTCTGTGTAAGCCTGTGCTAAGTGCCTCAGTGGTGACGAGCATGTCTCTTCATGCAGCTGTAAACACGCTGTAAACTTGATCTCACTCGCCCAAATTAAAAACAAAACAACACAACTCTTCCTGCAAGCAGTCATGAGTCTGTGTCATCATATAATCATGTGCAGAGTCTGTGGCTGGTTTTTCTGCACTGTAACCTTTGCTCATCAGTCTGTCCCAAGCTAAAGAGCTGGGTGTCTGGACTGCATGGTTAATCATATAACAGAATATTTCATTTCACCAACTGTGCCTGGTACATTTGAAAGTAGATGAAATGTTAAAGTGGAAAAAGTGCCGGTGCCCGTGTGAAAGGTCTGTATGAAGGTCTAAAATCTGTTTATGGCTGTGAATAAGCGCTTCATTGCAGCAGTTTTTGTCTCCCTGAAACTTTTACTTCAGCTCGAGTAAAGATGACTTTTTAGTCTAGACCAAACTTGAATTTGCTGCGACTCATCTGGTCTTGTGATGATCTAGAGGAAACGGGAGGTTTTCATAGGTTGGTTGTTTTATTTATTTTTTTTATCTTTGTCTCTGGATTTCTGCTGTCCCTCTTGAACAATGTTTTGGTTGGTTGTGTGCTTTGACTGATTGCTCTCTTACAGTATATTTCTGTATTAAATGTATTTGTCCCATAACCTAACATGCACCTCCCTGGAAATTTAACAACATGTTGCCATTGACGCTGTTCATACAGGTCTAAATACTGGCAATGGTGTCGGCCGCTGGCATAAGCCAAGTCGTAGACTCGACGTAGATTCATTACAGAAGCATAATACAGGGATTACTGTTGTCTGCGTGTTGTCTTATCAGGACAAGCTGTGTTGCACTTTAATCTAAGGCTCCTGGATTAGTGCAACCTCCATAATCATGATTTTTGCTTCTTAATAACTATAGTTTAAAAAATTTAGCACAAATGTATAAATTAACATTTTTTTTAAAGCACCTGGGAGAGGGCAGCTTTATATAATTTAAAAAGACAAACATGAAATGGTAATGTATGTTTGTTTACTATCATTGAATTTCATTAATGTGTCTGTTCTCTGTCCAGTTAAGTAGCTTTCTGATATGCAGTGTCCAGTGTAATACTTTCCCATACTGGCTCAGTAGATCAGAATTAATTTATATACATAATCTAAATTTGCAAAATTACGACTTACAAAGCTTGTTCCCTTTGAGACCCATGTTTCAGGTGTCAGTGAGACAGTTGCTGTCAGCCTTGAGCAAAGTTAATAAGACACTAAGTTAAAGATTGATGCAAAAAAAGGCGGTTTTTGTTTCAACGTGTTCTTCATTCTCTAACGTTGTTGCTGTGTAAAACAAAACAGTGGAGGACAGGAGCAGCTGAAAAGATACTTTTTTCTTTGCAAATAATCTTTGTGAAACAGATGATTTGGCAAAGGACTCTGTTTGCTGCTTTGCTGCCTCTTTGAAGCTACCTCACTACCCCTTCTGTTTGTTTCAGAGAGGCTTCGTCATAAATTATGACACCGACCAGACTCGTATATATTATCACAATGTTGTCATATATAAAAGGCCTGTATTTGTTACAGTGCTCGTCCCATGCTCTAACCATTCAGCAATATTGGACCTCCAACCACTAACCAATGCTTGCTTAAATGTTTGCTGAGGTTTCAGGGTTTGTGGCCAGAAAAGCTTGATCTGTTTGATCTTTGGTGAAAATGTTGTGTTACCTGCTCAGAGATTACAAGGCAACTTTGCACCAGGGCACATTTTAAAATGAGTATTACAGTTACAGTTGTACGCACTAAGTTGTCTTTTAGCCGAACAGCAACACCGATGCACAGTCAGGATAAACATGAGCAAGCACATTTCAGAATGTGCATTTGTGTTAAAAGTGAAAACAAATTCTGAATCAATTGCTGAGTCTGCATAACACGGGTTTGTATATGTGTAAAGTGAAACTAGTCCTGTAATGACAGCAACACAGTTGGGTTAAAATTACATGTGAGGCAAAGCTGCAGCTTTAACACTGGCTCATATTGAACTTCCTGCTATCGTAATCTGTTCAGATAACCCACATTGCATCAGTTTGTTTCCTGTCTTTTCATGATGCCTCCACACATCTAAAGATAATGAGCCTCAAGTCAGCAGAGACCACGGTTCTTGACTTGACTACAACTAGATTCCTTTTGAGATTATTTCCTCTCATAGTCCTGGTGGAATTTCACAAGAAGAAAGCTGTTGCGTTAGTGTGTAATGTTTGCTCTAAAAGGAAATGAACAAAGTCAAAAACACAAAAGAGGAAAAACTTACGATGTTTGATTTTATTGGAATGTCAACATGAGAAAAAGACTGACTTAAGACAGCACAGGCTAAGTTTTATGATCCTTATCCTACAGTTAATGAGGTTTACGTTTTCAACAGACACTATAATAATAACTAGACTATACCGTTTATGGAAAAGTTGCAGTTGGATTGTTGCTACTGTGGCTTGCTGTTAAAAAGTTGAAGGTAAAGATGTTTGTTAAAAATCTGAAGGGAATCTATTATACTTGTATCATAAAAAATGACAAAGGAGGAAAGAACTAAAAAGGAAGGTTTATTAAAAAATAAATCTGTCGCAACTAAAAAGCTGAAAATGAGATTTATGAGCATTTAAAATTTTTCTAAAATTGACAAGTGAACTGTTTTTATCTCACGTTGTGATGAATTTATTGTGTCATTAGGTATTTGG